GACAAATGCACAGGGGTGTGACTTCCGTCAGGTACTCGTGATCCCTATCTTGACTTTTTTTGATCACCCCTGATGACTATTTTTGTTAAGATATTGCTAATCTAAGATCACCTCCCAGATACACAGCACACAGCATGCGCTCTTGGACTCTCATTCTAGTTGGATGTAGCTGGCTACATGCTAGGCTTTGCCTACCCTTATAACGTATTTCCTGGAAATAAATCTTCTTTGTGTTAGAGCAATAAAACTTGCTTCCTTAATTCTGCTGAAGTCGGATTCCCGCTTTCAAGACTGCTGAGATACATATGCAGAGTACTACAACCTCCAACAAGCATGCTCCTGATACCCAACTGTACATCTCAGCTTCTGGCAAATAAGTGAGGCTCTCAATGTGCTGTTGTGGTGTCCAGAATCTGTCTGGGACTTGAAGGGAGGAATAGGTTAAGGCTCAATCTTGGCAAATTGGAATGGCTTTGGGTTTGAAGGCCTCTCAATTCTAGTGAGATTCTACTAGAAGCTCTGGATGAGGTGGCATTTCCCTGAACGGAGGTGGTTTGCAATTTGGAGGACCTCTTGGACCCATAGCTCCTACTTAAGGAGCACTTGGCAGCTATGGCCAAAAAGGCTTTTGCTCTATCTTGTGCATCAATTGTGACATTTCCTGAAATGGAAGGCATTACTCAACGTCATACATGCCTTAGTCACCTCCTGATTCAACTGCTGCAATGCTCTCTGCATTGGGCTTCCCTTGAAGAGCTGTCAGGAACTACACATGTTCCAGGATGCAGCTGTTCAAGTAATTATGGGTACACTTCATGGCACACCATGAAACTCAGAGCTGCATTGGCTACCACTTGGCTCCCAGGTGCAGGTTGTTGTCATCTTTAAAGCCCTCCATGGTTCAGGTCCTGGGCATCTGTGGGACTACCTGCACCTACAAATTTTTGTCTGTCAGAGAAGATCTTGTAAGATAACCTCAATCAGAGACTGCCATCTTCAAGCACCACAGAAACATGGCTTCTCAGTTGCCTTAGGAACAGCTGAATAATAATAAATAAGGAGCAGGGTCAGGGAAAGT